ACACGCACAACACTCGCAGAACTTCGCTCCGGCTACTGCAGCAGGTTGAACTCCTACTTGAGTAGGTTGAATGAGGATGTGCCGAATGAGTGTCCGGCATGCGGAGAGACTCCACATGACTCGAAACATCTCTTCGCATGCCCGGAAAACCCGACAACCCTAACGGCCCTGTCCCTGTGGACAAACCCCACAGAAGCTGAACCCTTCCTAGGGTTGCCGCTAGTGGAACTTGACGACAACGACTGAGATACCAACCGTCCTGGGCGGGGTTGTTGTAGCCGCTACAACAACAACAACAGGGGGGTGCTCGAGCCCCCTCCCCCCTAACTTTCAAATTTTCCATATATATATATAAAATAGTACCCTGAAATACCAGCTTAATAGGGTCGATGGAAAAAAAATGTTTATCTCGGGTTCAAAACTATCCTATCTTTTAAGTTGGAACCAAAAATACACAGCCACAAAATTTCATTGAAATCGGTTACGCGGTTTCGGAGATTAACGTAACAGTGGCACGGGATTTTTATACATTAAGAAAACAAACAAATTTTAACTCTAAATATATTGTTAAGTGCTGTTAAGTGTAGCTTAACGAAATTTTATATTTTGCTTTAAAGTTTATACGTACGTAGTTATGCTGCAAACGCTCCTGCTTTTAGAGCTCTAAAAGAATTTAACTTGCTATGAAATTCTGTTTTCCCAATTTCTATGTACATAGATAGATACATATAAGAACTCAGCGCGATATGTATATGGGTGTTTCCATGGTTATGCACGCGACATTTGTACACGTTTATTTGCGTTTGAATGTTGTAAAAATAGAAATATAATGGAAAGAAGTCACATCTTTTAGGATCGCTTCATTGCATGTGATGAGTTTTTTCCAAAAAGTATAAATATTGGAAGATTGAGCACTGGGTACCCAAGTTACACTCAATCAAAGTTGACTTACGCACGTGACAAAAATGGAAGTTGCTTTTAGAACCGGGAGAAAAAATGCGAAAGTAAGCGAATTGTAGGAGATTTTTGTTCCGGTAAATTTTTTTTTATAAAGGTTAATAATGGAGCTTCATAATAATGTTTGCTTCGAAAACAGCTGATCAAAGGTTGGCTTAAAAAAAAAAAATATTGATTACTCACGTGACATTACGCACGTGACACTTTTTTCCTTCATACATATTTTAATAATTTTACATATATTTTCAAAAGTTTTTGACAAAAAAATTAAACTTTTATTCAAAAATGGAAAATACAAAATAAAAATTAAGGTACTGCAAAATTAATCCAATTTAATTGTTTCTTTAAGTGAGTATGCTGTTCGAGCAACATTTATATTTTCGTTATCTAGGAAAAGCAATGCATTTTTTGTATTCCTGGAATGGAGCGGACAATTTCCCATTTTTCATTTAAGGGTGTAGAAAATTCTTCAATCTCTTTTGATGAGATATATAACAGACGAACTCCTTCGATGATTTTGCCAGCGCATTCATAAAATGCAAAGGCATCCGGTAAAATAATATTATTTGTCTTAACCGCTTGCCAAACTTTTCGCTTCACCACCGCGCCTACTCCATCGACTGCTCCTTTGCCATGCGAAGTGGCAAAGAAGTTCCACTCTAAATGCTTTAAGCCAAATTCGCTCACAAACGAAGGAATGCTGGTGAGAATATATTTGTTTTTGAATTGACTGGTGCTGCCTTCAGAGAATATGAAAACCGTGGAAATTCCTTCGAATTGACTTTGAATTTTGTGCACAATTTTTGTAAGGAAACAATAGACGTCAAATTTGTTGTGGGTAAGTTTGTCACTAATAGCAGCAATACATTCAGTTTGACCTCGAAGCCATGCAACGCAAGTGAAAATAGTAACTTGTTGGTAGCTGAAGTGAGCTTCTTGGACCTCATTCTGATTGATCAACCGATAGTTTTCTGCAAAATCGATTTGCAAAATTAATTCATCATCACGTAAATTGTTCTTTTTTTCCTTGAAATATTTTTCCTGGTCGCGCTTTATAAAATAATGAAGTTAAAAAGCTGGCAGCTGAATTTCCAGTTCATGTAACAAATCTGTTAATGGCGCTATAGTATAGCTTAATATTAAGCGATCATTAACTTTTCTCCAATAGCTCCAATTAACATTTTCTTCCATTTTGGTTAAAAAATATATAGGCACCAAATTATATTTTATATCACGTACACATTTCTCACAGTCACTAATCATGCATTTTTCGTCCAATACATTGCAGCATGTTACTTTCAAAAAATCTTCAAAATGAGATGGAATCTGAGGCATAGCTTTATGACATTCCTCTAGCAAAAATCCGAAGTTCGCATGGTATTTACATACACACATATTGTGCGGAAGTTGGTCCATTAATTTAACGTGTTTGGGTCTATGGTTAAAAAATTGGGATTTACAAAGATATTCTGAAGGGACCTCTCTTCTGTACAGTTGATAAGCTTCTGATACAGATACAATTATAAAGCGCTTTGCAACTACTTGCTTATTGCAGATTAAAGTATCTTTCCGGCCGGGAGCTTGAACACTTATGTCATCTCGGATATAAAACTCGTGGACTGCTTTAATTTTTTCCAACATATTATCGTTTGAACATACTGGTGTCTCAGCTTCATTATTCGAGAGTTTGGGATACTTTTTATACAAAGCTTGTAGAACTTCATCTCTCTTTACTTCGTTCATTGGTAACGCCTTCTCTACCTTCTTTATAGCTTTTCTAGTGTTTGTTTACACTTGTAACCACTTTTGAATTGGGTATTTGATATTTTCTTGGTTGCTCTACACTTTTGTTGTCGAACGCAATCTCTATTCCTTTTTTCTTTCAATATACTTGAATTATTTTTGGCCTCACATGCCTTTCTCTTGCGATATTCACGCATTCTTTCAGCTTGTTTTTTTTTTTATGTTCTTTAAGCTTATTTTCATCTTACTTAAGCCTCTCCCTCCACCGATTTTGGTTTTTGGCATTATTTGACATCTAATATTTATTGTAAAAGTAAAATAATACTTATCAAATGGACTTTAATAAAGAGTATTACATTTTTCGTACTTACCATTACGCACGTGACAAAGTTCAAAAGTAAAAAAAAAATTTAATTTTTTCCGATGGTTATTTATATTAATATATTATTTTAGTAAACAATAAACTTGATTAACAAACAAAAGAACAAGACACTTTAACTGATAATGCGCTAATAATGGCACTATGTAGCTTTTTTGCATTACGCACGTGACATACGAATGTTGCCGAAATAGAAATGAAAAAATACCGTTATTGATGCACAGTTTGATCTCTTCTCTCATTTTTATATTCATTTGTAGTTGTATCAACTACTTATATACCAAACTGCGATATTGCATATATATTTATTTCGTCAGCGGCAATTAAAAGTAATACATTCTACATCTTTTAAAGTGAATAAAAAAGTTATAAGTTTTGCCTAAAATTTTTTGGAATTTAAAATTATAAAGAGCTGAAAATTTTTTTACATAGTAAAATATCAACATTTTTCTTCTGTTTTCTGTGCCTATAAAAATTCTGCGAGCGTTTTGATTTTTTAAGTCACGGTGGACCACTTCATGGAAACACCCATATACATATGTTTGTTTTTCATTCTGCGACAGAAAAGCGCTTAAATAAAAACCCGGACATCCGAAAACAGATTGCTTTTGAAAGAATACCCATCCCTAGTAGGGCTTGTCTTCGCTTAACACAGAAGAATTACGAATGTCGTGCTTTTTTGAACTCGGCTAAAATCGCTTATGCGGTTACAGTTCCAAACAGAGTTTGAACCAAATTTCATATAAATCGGACCAATTTTAACATTTCAGCCAGCAGAAGTAGATATTCGGCGTGTTAATCGGCCTTTGCACACTGGACTGCTCAATTTTCTCTGACTTTGGACTGACACGCACACATAGACAACATTTTTTGTGTTTTCCCAATAAACATTTGGGTTGGATATTCCAATTTTCAAGTGTACCTAATTTGGCGAACCATCCCATTCTCAAAAAAAAAAAAAAAGCGTACATTTTTGGCACGCAAAATAATGTGAATTCTCCACTTGAGGAGAGCTTGAATGTCAATTTGAATTCAAAATTTATCAAACCTTTAGAAAACCTTGGAGATAAATACTATACATTCACTTGAGAATAAAGAATTTCTCAGAGATTGAAAAAAAATTTAAAAAATTTTCCCATTAAACATTATGCCGAACGTTCGCAAAATATCTTCGATATCCAATATGAATTTAGAACTGAGAACGAACTTATAACACCAACCTTCGTTTTCCAACGTTCTGAGTAAATTGCAAATACACCCGAAATGGGTTTGAAGTGAAAAAAAAATGAAAACCATAGTAAGAAGAGAGAAAGTGAAATCCATCCGTTTTGCTGGAGAATGGTCTAGTTCTCGAATCGAATACTAACCTAATATTGGTTTTCCAATAATTTTCGATTTGTTAACCAAGCCTAATGTTCGTTGGGTTGCTTTCTGGATATGTATTAGGTTGTTTTGAGCGACCACTAACACAGTCAAGCACAGTTCGTATATAAACAACCGACTGCTCAGTCTAGTGCGCGGAGGCCTATATTCATCAGTAATTCACAGTTCGCTCTTTCTCGAAGTATGTAAAATATAATACAAACCACGTTTTGAATAAATCGCAGCTCCTTCCTTTCCGCAGCTAAGATGAAGACGTGTATGTATGGATGCTGGTTTCCTGTGCTAATGGTGCAATTTCATGCTGGGTGTGTGTGATATTAACAAAAGTTTCGTGACATTTACTTCTTTTATTCCTTACCTTTAAGATTTATTTTTTTTAAGTAAAATCGTAAGATTGTTTTAATTTATAATATAACATGTTTTATATATATTTAAATACATTTAAAATATGTTTTCAATAAAATTTACATAATCTCATACAATACATACAATATTAGTTATAAATATGTTTTTATTATTTATATAGGAGTCGATTCTATTTGTAATTAGGGAAATCGTTTACTATAAAATATGTTCATATACATACATACATATAATGATAAAAACGACTATAAAACTATGACAAAACGCAAAAAAAAAAAAACATTACAGAAAGTTTGCATCAGGCACATAATAGACATTTATGTACATTAGTGTACATGTACACTACGTGATTAAATTGGAAGGTGGAAAACTTAAGGAGTTATTCGATTTTTTGCGATTTACATATGTACATAGTTCCATAACGAGAGGATAGTAATTATTAATCTTTAATTTGTACAAAACGTATTAAAATAGAAAAACATAAAATGTATTAAGAAACAGACCGGCAACGCGGGGTCTCACATTACGAAATGTCTATGAAGTCCTAACTAAAAGCGGGAAAGTGTAGGATAATTTGTTGTTGAACACAAATTAATGTTTGAAAAGAATAGAAAGTGAACTTGCAACAGTCGCCATTAAAAATCACGGACTTTGCAAATTTTTTCCCATTGGCATTTTGCATCAAGTTACAACTTCCGAGACATATTGTTTTAAAACAGTGGCGGTGGTGTGGTGGGAATGCGATAATTGCTTTTCTAGAAGATGTTTGGTGTTGGTGTATAATGGTGATATTTGCTAAACTAATGCCACTCAAATTTAAGTCTTTTCACACATATCTAGCCCCTTCTTACACGCGCCTTTTCTTGAGTAGTATATCCTTGTTTTGTATTGTGAAGAATCCGTTGACCCATTTTAGATCAGGTTTCGAAAATCGTACAGTTTGGCCATCACCGCAGGCATTTTCGGCTGCGTATATGCCTTTGAGCATGACACTAGAACCAGATCCACATGCTAAAGCGCTGCCGACGTCCAATAGGCATGGATCGTGCACAACTGAACTGCAGACGCTGGTCTCATCTGCCCCACAATCCGCTCGCGATTGGGTTATTGTGTTTGAAACGTGCAAGACGGCCCCCTCCTCGTGAACTGAAAGAATATAAGTTTAAGAAATTAAAAATTTAATAAATGGAAAGTCCTTTTCATTATTGATTTATGTACACCGCACTACGGAATACTTACTTTTGATTGCTTGTTTACCCCAACCGGTGGTTATGCATTTCTCTTCCGGTTTCGGATCCTCGTTGGTCACACAAATGGGCTTAACGTGTTGCGCAAATTCGATTCGCTTATCCAATCTTAAAACTGCCATGTCATTCGAACCCGTTGATGGATTATACTCGGGGTGTATATCAATAGACTTCACTCCGACTATTTGGAAAGGTAGCGGTTCGCTGTCTCGTCCCAATTCCCATTCGCCACCTTTTACTTTCAAGTCGTTGGGTGACACACTATGACAGGAAATATAGGATTTTTAAATTATTTAAATACTTAGTTAAATATATACAATAAATTTGATGCTCACCCTTTAACAACGGAGGCTGTTGTCAAAACAATTTGATCGCCTATGATTGCACCACCGCCCAGTAATGTTTTAGTCGATTCCTTAAGGATCATTGCTTGCCATGGAATTTCACCAAAGTTAGCGTCAACATCTTGTATACCTTGTGGCTTGGTATTCTGAAAAGGAAGTAGAAGTAAATAAGCGAACACATTTGGTATGAGTTTTGCGAATCTTGGACCATGGTAAAGGGATACTAACCTTGTTTCTGGTTGCACAAACGCCAGCCAAGTTAATTGGCCATGGGTCGACATAATTGGCGTCGCGACAACATTTGCCCGGTGCACCATTCTCCAGGAAACAGTCGGTAAGAGGAACGCGGAAGGCCGATTCGGCTGAGTTCACATCCACGGGCTGATCCGTTATCACGCCGAT